GTTTGTCTAAAACGATCAAATTATTTTTTAGAATACTTGCTTATGGAAAAGTGCAAGCGTAACCAACTATCTTGGACAAAATAAGAATCTTTAAGCAAAGCAGGTTAACCAGTCACTTTGTGTTTTGATAATTTTTATGATTACAAAATCTGCTTACCACATTTGGAGCCTCTTAGAACCTGTCCACTATCACATAAAAGGCGCACGAAGCGGACTTGAGGTGGTTTTGAAGCATCGAAAACTAAGGAAATCCCACTGATATTAAGATTCACATCTGTTCTGGTAAACTTTAATAATAGGTTACTGGAAATTTCTTCAGTTGTCTGATTAAGATCAGCTGCAGTCGTATTCCTGGGCAGTGGAACTTTGAAATCAAAACTAATGGAAAGTGAAATTCTTGATGAGAGCGGATTACTTCCTAAGTCTCTTTTTCGAAGTGTTCCTGTCTGGTCTCCACATTCGACCTCGACGTTTTCGATTGTGCATAACCCGAGTGAATCGCAGCCATTGTCTGGTCCCAAATAAGTGGTGTAAAGTGCAATAAAGTTGCTGGCGATCTGGTGATGAATTTGCTCGCTGCATTGATCAGCTAGGTAGTGGAGCTGAATTTTGAGCAGAGTCGTCGCCTGGCGTGTTTCTGTAACAGAAGTTTTGAAAATGAATAATTGCTAATTGTTTTCTTCAAAAAACGTTTTAGAAAATCCTAAAGAGTGGCAAAACGCGGATGAGTTACAAAAGCAATCGGATCTTCGATTCCCAAAGAAGGGACTCCATATTGTAAATGACTGATAGATTATTTGAAATGCAACAGGTAGCCGGGAGACGATTTCAGGCTCACAGTTCAGCGGTACTCATCTGTAATCCTGTGCAGAAAGAGGCACTGTGGGAAAAATCCTTTCCTAAGAACAAGAACCCGTTTCTCGAAAGATCCGGGAACTTAACAGGCCAGAAAGGCGGACTTTATTGCCATGTTTCTTTCGAGATAGAGATTTTGAAAAATTTGAGATGCAAACAGTAAAGATAACAGGAAAAGAAACAGAATGTACCATTGTCTGGGCGAAGACTGACATCATCTTAGCGTATAATTTGATTTATAAATGTTATATTCGTGCTTCTCGAGTTAACGAAACTTTTGAGAGTTAGGCCCCAGGGTTGAACAGCAATCTCTCGATTCAGACTCGAACATGCAAACTATGTACCATATGTAATTTGTTATTTTTTTTTCATATGCTACCCAAGCCGCTTATGCTGGCAACGCCTTATTTATTAGGCCTAACAAGGCCAGAAAAGCTGTTCATGGCTGCCAACTTGATGACTACTTTGCCTCTTTTGGTAGCAACTATCTAGAGTCCGTACCATCGTTGCCATAAGGCATTTTCCATGGATGCAGCCCACACTTTAACGTTGCATAGTGTGTTCACGCTTACCTGAGCAATCTGGTACTTTTTCATCAGGCAGCCATCCACCTGACGCCCCACAGAAATAGGCATCTGGTGGTTTGTTAGCGAAGTCATATCCAACGTTACAGTGAAGTGTGCAGATCTTACCACCTTCCAGCCATAAGTCACATGCTTTTGCTCCATTCAGTGGTGAATGCAGCTTCGGACATTCATAATCTTGATTTCAGAAATAAGCAGAAATTACGTCATCATCATCATCATAATTTTTTACATCATCATCTTTCCTTATCGCGGCAGTAGACCATTGCGCTCTTTAAACTGTAAACAGTGACTTAATGAGGATTCTGCACCACCCCTAAATCATATTCAATCTTTAAAAACGCCAGTAACCAGCTTACTTTTCCCAAAAAGAACAATTATTTCAAAATAATGATAAAAAATTACCAGCCTAACGCTATATTTTGGTATTGTGCTATCATTCGGTGGTAGCCCTCATCTGGTATGTTGGAAGACCGGTCGCTGAGTCGTGATATCTTTTCTACCCACAAACAACCTATGACCGTGATCAATGTTAGCATATCTGAGCAACAGCACACCTACCCCTCCCCTAACCCTGTCAGCATATCTAAGCAACAGCGCACCTATCCCTCCCCTAACCCAACAACAGTCAACTGATCACAAGTTAGAGAGGATGGAGAGGTAGGAGCGCAGTTGCTCAGAAAAAGTCATTGATCCGATGACTGTTACCAAGGAAACTAACTGTAAAACTGTAAATTTAAAGTTAGACTAGACTATACATACCCTTAATTATTATACGGAACTTGCACGTGGCTGTATTACCAGCTGTATCTGTAGCACTATATGTTATATTGTGTTGTCCCCATGTAAACTCGCTCCCGTTTGGTCTGTTTGTAATAAATGAGTGAACACCAACATTATCGGTGACCTCAACTCTGGGTAGCCACACCTTAGTCCATTGCTTTGCAGAAGTAATGAGTACATCTTCGGGACAGGGAGAAATTCTAGGTGGCTCTTTATCTGTTGGAGTAGAAATATAATTGAAGTATCTGCATTGTGCCTGTGATGTGCTGCAGTCTACCTCTCATAAGTTGTAACTACCTTTGCCAGTGTATGTATTGTATAGTATGTAGAGTAACCTAATTATTTATTCAAAGCTCGTAATGCAAGTAATGTAAGCATCATAAAATTTGTAGTGCAGGCTAATTTAAAAGAAAATCATTTTGTGAGTAGTCTTTAACGTGAGTATCAATAAGTATAAATATCAATAGGGGTTGTATTGTAAGTAACACAAGCATTGTTGGTGTCATAATTACGCTGTGTTTTTACGTTGTGCTAGTGCTGCACTGTTGTATGTAAGTCGAAAGTTAATAAAGACAACTTTTAACCAAAAAAAGGTATGTTGTAAGAAAACATGCCTTAAAAAAGAAAAGGAGCGATTGACAATTGAACAAATAAATTTGCTCATGCAAATGTTTCCAAGTTCAATCTTATAAAAAGAAGATTTTTCTGTCGAACCCTAGTTAGATGTTTGAAAGCCTTTTTAGGCCTCCTTTTATTGAGGAACCAAAGCTTTTGCTTTTAAAAAGCCGACACTATTTGAAAAGTTGCAGAAAACTGTTGAATTGTCAATATTTGGTACAATTTGTGATGTGATTTTGTGTATAAATGTTTTATATCACCATAGTTAGTACCTGGAAAATGATTAAAGATGCAAATGGTAAAAGTTTTTGTACCTCTTTTAAGTAAATGGGTAGAGTGCTCTGGGATTGCATTTGTTTTGGTTTTGCGAAACTCAATGGCTAGAAATGTGCTCCTTTTAAAAGATATCATGTTGAAAGATTGGAAGTAATGATATGTCCACGCCTAATATCAACGGCGTGTACGCACTCATACCTTTGACCTGAATCGAGAAAGTACAGGATGAACTCAGCCTGGAAGAGTCAGTGACTTTGTACGTGATGTGATTTGTACCAACATTAAACTTCTGCGGCGGCGTCAAGCCAGTAAGAATCAAATGTTCGTTAGAGTTGTCCGTGGGGACTGGTAACTTCCAAGTTACGTTCGCATATGACCGACCAGTTTCTGTGGGGATTGTCATGTCAAGTGGGCATTGAATTCTAGGATGCTGGATATCTGTCGGGAAAAAAATGGTTATCAAGTAAGTTAACGATATATTTGGCCATCGTATGGAGACTCTAAAGTTGATGTTTCCGGCGTTGGCACTTCGTCAGAGTAAATCGAGGAATCGTAGGCTGTGTGTGATAAATGCGCAGAAAAATATATTTATGCTTTTGGTGGAAGCATGGTCAGTTCAAAAACACAGGAACAAATTAGGTGAATAAAAAGTGTTAGTGGGGAGTAAGAGTGCCGATTTGAATAAGATTTTTGTTGTAGAGTCTTGCAGCTTTCCGAACGGTCCAGAATAGGGGAGTGCTGCAGATTACCACACGTTACTTAGAGTGACTAGAAGGATTAAACTTTCCAACGACTGGTTTGAATGTGTCCTCGTCAATTCTTCCTTCGTCACGAAGTATTCTCCTTATTGGTCACCTACATCAGTGAAACAGAAAGACAACTGGGAAACCTACTCCGAAAAAACTTTGTGATGTAGAAAAGAATGACCAAATCACATCAACACAAGAGGGGTTCAAAAGGGAAAACATCGACATCCTAAAGTTAGTCTGTTTTTTTTTTATTATCATTGTAAATATGCTTTTAAACTATGATTAAAATCATGCATAATATGTCCTAATAACTGAGGGATTATCAAAATAAAATGTCAATTAAGTACCTCTACATCTAACAATAGTAACATCTGCACTCCATGATCCATTTTCAAGGCAGGACACATTTCTTGCTCCTAGAGGTTGATATCCGGCCGAAACATCACAAATGAAATAGCACTCTGTCTTGTAATGAACTCCTGAGGGTAACTTGCAAGGACTTGGAAAGACCCTACCATGAGATGGGGCCTTTATGGCAGGGCATTTGACAACTGAGAGAGTAGAAACATGTGTAAGAATTATCCTGTACGTGCATCAATGTAGTGGTGGTAGTTTGCTTTTGAAGGTCAGCAGATTGCACAACTGCACGAATAATTTCATATCTTTTTTTTCCAAAAGTATGCGAAACAGAAAAAAAGTAAAAAGGAGAAAACCTTGGCAAATAGGAAACCTAATGTTTAGATAAAGAATTCAGTTAACAGAATTCCTCAATGCACTTTACTTTCGCAAGTACTTCGCTCAACTCAACACAGCTGGACATTCTACATTTTTTCACTATGAGGTTATATGGATTATTTATAACTTAAAGCTGCTTACTTTGGCAAGAGGTTGTGTTGCCTGACCAGGTCCCATCACCTCTGCAGGTGCGAAGAAGAGAGCCTTTCATATTAAATCCTTTTTCACAGGTGAAAGAAGCCTGGGAACCAAACCAGTGCTGGCATGTTAGCGATATATATCCATGAACTGGTTGAGGAAGGACTGGACATGATTTTCCTGCGAATGGAAGACGTTTGTTTTCATTGGCCGTGAACCAAATTTCCACCTGTTAATTAACAACTATCCAAGGAAGTGAAGGTGGTTAATGGCGGTTATTTTTAGTCCTGCAACGATTACAATATTTTCAGGCGCAATTCCCGCGTGCGTTTCTTGGAGGTGAATAGCAAAGTATATTTGGAGTTTGGGTGGCCAATTAGAGGGCGCCCTTAAACCTACCCACTTTATTAGGATATAATTATAATAATTATATGGAGTTATCATGCGAAGTGTCATACTTGTCACTTGAACGGTGAAACTGCAGTTAGCACTGTTTCCGTTATCGTCTTTGGCTGAGTAAATCACTCGATAGAGGCCAGCGTCCAATTGAGTGGGTGGTCGAATTGCTGGATAGCTGACCGACACGTGGCCCGAATTGTCATCAGCAACTGGTTCATTCCACTTGACAAGAGCAGTAGGTGAACATCCAGCGGTATAGAAAACCATGTTGTGGGGACACGTGTTATTGAAAGAGGGGCGCATGTTGTCTGTAAGCGATGAAAAAAGGATCAAATGTATATCAGTGCCGATACGTGCTTTGATAAAAGGTGTTGCAGGCTAGGTTACCCACACGAGGCTTCTCCGGATTCCTTTCATGTGAACGGGAAGGAATCTTATCAATTCTTCTGAAAGAGATGCTAAATTATTGCTGTCATGATGCGGTGTCCTAAACATTTTTTGGACGATTGTAGATTGCCAGTGAAAAGAGGTAGCAACAAACCAGAAGCAATTAGAAAGGCGATCATGGAGAATGGCTCAAATTAACGTTCCTTTAAAATAACGAAGTATAAAAATTTGCACAGATATCCATGACCCATGGTGTAGCGTTTCTAAACGGAATGGCCAAATATTTCTGATAACTAAATGGTTTTTATTTTCTACAACATAAACTAACCTATGCAGCGGGTGTTGTTGGATCCTGTCCATTTCCCATTGTTGCCACATACCCTTGAGGAAGTTCCATCAAGAACATATCCTAGAGTTCCACAGGAAAATCTGCATGTCTGACCATAAGGACTACCAGATACACATGAAGATGGAGAAATGATCGCATTCATGGGAGGGAAGAGTGGACCACAGGCGACAACTGAAAATAATCGTAAAGAAATACCTATGATTGGAGCACAGAAACGTTAAAAAATAAGAACCAGCTTTGAACATCTTTCGAAAAACATTTCAGAATTTTCCCATCCAAACATAATTCTTAATAATGGTGGGAATTATACAGTTCACACCTCTCAAAAAAATGCTAAAGGAAGCAGAAAGAGAACAAGAAAAAAAGATGCATAAACGCACGCTCTGTCCAGCCTCAGGCCTAGACCATGAGTCGCAATGCAAGTCTATCAGAGAATGTGCTCATGGGATTCCTTAAAAAAAACAGCTCATCTTGAGGACGAAGGATGTCTTGTTTCTTGAGCATATGGACCTTTAGGCTCCTTACCTTGACATGATGATGCAACTCCACTCCATGTGCTGTTTTGTAGACATCGCCTGACAGAGGAACCAAGCAGACTGTAGCCAGCTTGGCATGCAAAACTACAATGGGTATCATAAGGCTCCCATACAGGATCAATACATCCAACCTTTTGTCCATGTTTTGGGATAGGAAGAGATGGACAAGTAATGGCTGCAAAGAAAAAAGAGTTATGCTTAAGACGTATTGAAGGAAAAGGTGAAGGAGCAATTAAAATGGAGCAAAAATATATTCAGCGACAAAAAGTACCATAACAGGTTGGCAGACGATTATCCCAAACGCCTGGGGGACTGTCACTTTGGGCAACACACTTGAGTGATGACGATCCATTTAAGCGATAACCAGTGGGACAGGAAAAGTTACACTGTGCTCCGAAGTTATATCCACAGCTGCTCATGCGCAATGGATCTCCCGGACTTACCACAAGCTTGGAACAGTTGATAACTGACACAAAGATAATAGAGTGTTTAAAAATCAGAAAAACCGATTTGTTTTTAATATACTAAACTTATCTTTTGTCCAGGTGCGTAGCCTCTCTGTTTATAAACTTTCGTTAAACAAATACCTGTGATGTGGCCTTTAGTAGGAGGAAGATAAGACTAAGGCAGACTTTAAACGAGAACCATTTGGGATCCCTATGTAAGTGGTGCTTTTACAGTAGCAGTTTATTTAACCTGAACATACGAAGTCTTGCCCACTCCAGGTTCCATTTTCTTGGCATTTTCTTGTAGGAGAACCAATCCCAGTGAACCCAGACTTGCAGGAAAATTGGCAAATTTTGTTGTGCTGCTCCGCCGTTTTTCCTGAACAGCCCGTCTGGATTCCATTTGCTGGTATGGATAAGGCTGGGCATGTGGCAGCTAAGAACGAAACAAGGAAACAAAAGGAAGCCAAAAAATTCATTGAATAATTAAATATTAGCAATTTACTCGGTTGCGTTTCTACCTGGCAGCCCCGGAAGCCCTAAATATCCCCCTTTTTGTATGATTATCTCTCCTTCTATACCTCCGGGTGTCCTTCGGCCTGTCTGTTTGGCTGCCTGCCTACCTATCAGTCTGTATCTCTGACTGTCTGTAAGTTGGTTTACATCTCTGTTTTTTATTTTTAGTCAATAAGTCTTTAGCAGGATTCTTTGCTTAGATTGGCCCAAAGAAAAAAACCCGTTATAATGGTTCCCAGCATCCACTGGAGCATTTCTTATTTAGAGATGTATTTGAAGAGTGGTTGCCTTGGTTACCCTACCGTTGCATTTAGCCTGTGTGCCGGTCCACGTGCCATCGTCTTGACAGGTTCGCGTTGCTGATCCGGTGAGAATGTACCCTTTGTCACAGGAAAACCGACAGGTATTTCCAGGAAGATTAGAACAGGGATGTAAGCTTCCGTTTGAAGGTACAGACAAATGGGCACAGCGGTTAACTGAAATAGAAATAAAACAACAAAAAATAACTTTTTTGATTTAAAGCTGCCATCCATCAACCCTTCACACAACCGTGTCAGTCAATTATGAAAGGTAAGTCCCCCTAGAACTCAGGCCACTCTACGCTGTTACCAAATGGAACCTACGTTCAACATCGAAAAAACATATAGCAAGTTAGAGGGGTCAAATGACAAACTGGTGAAAATTTGAATCGACTTTTCCTTACCTCCTTGGCAAGTAAAGGGATCGCCAGGCTTTAGCAGTACTCCTTCAGGACAAAAGCATTGGTGTCCACTTGGATTTGGGAGACAAAGATGACTACAGCCCCCATTTAAATGCGAACAGCTGGTTGATCCTAC